TTTTCTTTTCCCCTTTAATGACCCCTTCCCTTACTTAGATTAGTTTATTTTATTTTTCAAACTGTTTTTATTTAACAATGAGATTTAGGTTTTCGTGTAGATCGAGGGTCGTAATAAGGTTTAAAGTTGAGAAGCATTTCATGTGGCATCTTTGTTGTCATTCTTAGGGTAACGGTTTGATGAACATTGATGCAGATTACCCCTGTGATTTGCCAATCTGGCCCAAGAGTGTTCTAACGTGTAGGCTCCTTGATTAATATCAAATTTAGTGGGTTTTGCACACATGAGCTTCTTCTTCGGGTAGCTGTTATGATCCTCCTTCTTAGGTTTACCTTGTTATTCTATTCATTGTTAGTAATTACAGTTTCTCTCCCATATATTCTTAGTACTTCCTCTAACTTATTTTTTTCTTCATTTTTAACTAATAGGTGGTAGATTTTCATTCTAATAATGCGTTGCCTAAGGCTATGTCACTGGTATTTATAATTAATGAACGGAGTAATTATATCAGTCTTTCATAAAGTTAAAATTATGGTGCTTGGCTATTTTATGAGGGAAGTATCTTTTTCTTTTCCCTTTAACGGTCCCTCCCCTTATTTATTTTATTTTTCAAACTGTTTTTATTTAACAATGAGATTTAGGTTTTCCTGTAGATCGAGGGTCTTAATAAGGTTTAAAGTTGAGATGCATTTTATGGGTATCTTTGTTGTCATTCTTAGGGTAACGGTTTGATGAACATTGATAAATTACCCCCCATGAATTTGTTATCTGGCCCAAGAGTTGTTTACCGTGTAGACTCCTTTGATGAATATCAAAAAATTGTTGGGTTTTGCACACATAACATCTTCTTCGGGTAGCTGTTATTATCCTCCTTCTTAGGTTTACCTTGTTTTTCTATTCATTGTTAGTAATTACAGTTCCTCTCCCATATATTCTTAGTACTTCCTCTAACTTTTTTTTTTCCTTCATTTATATCTAATAGGTGGTAGATTTTCATTCTAATAATGCGTCGCCTAAGGCTTGTCACTGGTATTTATAATTAATGAACGGAGTAATTATATCAGTCTTTTCATAACGTTAAAATTATGGTGCTTGGCTATTTTATGAGGGAAGTATCTTTTTCTTTTCCCTTTAACGGTCCCTCCCCTTATTTATTTTATTTTTCAAACTGTTTTTATTTAACAATGAGATTTAGGTTTTCCTGTAGATCGAGGGTCTTAATAAGGTTTAAAGTTGAGATGCATTTTATGGGTATCTTTGTTGTCATTCTTAGGGTAACGGTTTGATGAACATTGATAAATTACCCCCCATGAATTTGTTATCTGGCCCAAGAGTGGTTTACCGTGTAGACTCCTTTGATGAACATCAAATATTGTTGGGTTTTGCACACATAACTTCTTCTTCGGGTAGCTGTTATGATCCTCCTTCTTAGGTTTATCTTGTTTTTCTATTCATTGTTAGTAATTACAGTTTCCCTCTTCCGCCCCATCTATTCTTAGTACTTTCCTCTAACTTTTTTTTTTTCCTTCTTTTTATCTAATAGGTGGTGGATTTATTTTTAATAGTTAAATATTTCAAGAGAGTTTCATACCTTAATGCATCGCCTATGGTTAACATAATGAACGGCAAGTAATTTATATCGGTCTTCGAACGATATGGCATGTCTTCATAATATAATTTCGATCAAACACATTAATATCAATAAAATGTAATTTATATCTATTA